ACCTTCTGGGCCAAGTGAAAGATAAGAGTTGCCACCCAAGAGGCACCAAACGGAGCAAAGCTTCAGCCCAATGCTGATCAGGCCACTTGCCAGCCAAGAAGCACGACCTCCTGCTCTGAGCCACTTCTGATTTGGCTCCACACTCATCCGGTTGGAGAATTAACAACCCTGCATGCTAATAATAATAATAACAACAATAACTTTATTTTTATACCCTGCCTCCATCTCCCCAAAGGGACATGGGGTGGCTTACAAAGGGACAAGCCCACAATTTATTTATTATTTATTTATTTCGCGCATTTCTACCCCGCCCTTCTCAACCCCCAAGGGGGGACTCTGGGCGGCTTACAAAAGGCACAATTCGATGCCAACACAAACAATAAAATAAAATATATATAAACAGTAATTAAAAACAATTAAAACAATCAATTATACATCATAATCAATAAAACCAATCTAGTGCACAACGTTTGCCAGCTCAGAGTCTGTAAATTCATTCCACATTGTCAAATCCTATCAATTCTAGTCATCAATTGTCCTTTGTCTATCTGCCAGGTTACCCAAAAGCCTGGTCCCACATCCATGTTTTTAATTTCCTTCTAAAAGAGAGGAGGGACGTCAATGACCTAATTTCCCCGGGGAGTGAATTCCACATGTGAGGGGTCACCACCAAGAAGGCCCTGCTCCTCATCCCCACCAATCTCACTTGTGATAGAGGTGGGGCCGAGAGCAGGGCCTCCCCAGAAGATTTTAAACTCTGAGGTGGGACATAGAGGGAGATACGTTCGGACAGATACACTGGGCCGGAACCGTATAGGGTTTTGTAGGTCAAAACCAGCACTTTGAATTGTGCTCGGAACTGGATCGGCAGCCAGTGGAGCTGACATAACAGAGGGGTAGTATGCTCCCTGTATGGCGCTCCGGTGAGTAATCTGGCTGCTGCCCGCTGGACTAATTGAAGTTTCCAAACAGTCTTCAAAGGCAACTCCACGTAGAGTGCGTTGCAGTAATCTATTCGGGATGTAACAAGAGCGTGGACCAACAAGAGCGTGGCCAGATCAGACTTCCCAAGGTAGGGGCGCAACTGGTGCACAAAACACCAATTAAAACAGCACAATAAAATAAAGTCAAAAAAGAACACATCAAGGTAAAAACCTATCACAGTAAGAGAGCTTCCTCCTGCCCTAAGCATAAATTAACTCCATTATCCTAACCAAACTTGTAATGCATCCAAGGTGTCTCCAGGCCTGAGAGACACCAGCCAAGGCTTCAGTGGCTTCATGGAAACAGTGGCATGAGTCAACCATCCCTGGCACAGCTTGGCATCAGCCTTTGTCCAGCTGCTTTCAGGTATAGATTTTACATTGAAAACAGAAATGAAAGGAAGCTCTGCACTGAAGCTTTAGTTAACGCAAAATGCTGTGCTGGAACAGAATGGATTTCATTCCCAAACCAGTCCCATCGGCTCCCTCTTCCTCTTCCTCCTCCCTTTGGGGAAGGTTGTCCTTCAACTCCACAAAGGTTTCCTACTCATGGAGCAGGGCTTAGTTTGCTATTAGCAGGCGCATGGCTTGCCACTGTCAAGAGGGGACAGGGGAATTCAAGACATAACTTGGGCTCAGATTTTTTGACAGGTGCCTGCTTTGATTTTAATCAGCCCTCAAAGCACACGAAACCGGCTTCCAGCAACCAAAGCCACGTCCTCACCCAAATCAAAGGAGGGCAGAGCTTCTCGGTGGGGATGAGTCTCCACAGCCCCAGAAAGAAGGGATGCGCACAGAAACTTAGGCACCTGGGAGTCACACTTTGGGGCCACCGAGTCATACATACGAAGGCTGCTCCCTCCCCTTTGAACAAGACTTGGGCCGAATACCAAACCTTGCTCTCTTACTTTGCCGTGAGAACCAGTTCAATACAGACACCACTTGCATATTTTCAGATCTCTTCAAGCTTCAAATCACATCATGTAAAAAGCAGGCACAACACATTGACGGTGTCTTCATAACTGGCCTGTCAGTCTCAACCTTATTACCTAGAATGTCTGAATGGAAGGCAGAGCCAGGGTGCCATGGAGGATAATAATAATAATAATAATAATAATAATAATAATAATAATAATTCCCGAAGGACTTGGAGCGGCTTACAAGAGGCCGAGCCCAATTACAACAATAAAACAACATCAACAACAACAACAATACAGCAAATTAAAATTAAAATCAAGGCAATAACATTAAACACACAATGACACAATTAAAATCTATGGCAGGGCCAAATGTAATAATTAAAATTAAAAAGTGCTGGGCATGATCAGGTGAAAAGGGTTTTGGAGAGGGATGGGTATGCAGGTATCCTAAATCTCTGATAAAGTGTAAGGGGGACATAATGCTTGGAGTTTCCTTATTCTGGGAAGGCACACTGGAACAACCCCGTTTTCAAGCTCCTCCTAAAAATTGCCAGAGATGGGGCTTGCCTGATGTCCTTAGGGAGAGAGTTCCAGAGTCGAGGGGCCACCACCGAGAAAGCCCTATTCCTTGTCCCCACCAATCGCACTTGCGATGCAGGTGGGATCGTGAGTAGGGACTCTCCAGATGAATGAAGAGATCGTGTGGGTTCGTACACAGTATTCAGGATGCTGAATAAGGCTGCTACGAAGGAGTTGCAGCCTTGTTTTGATGCCGCTCTGAAAAGCGGTCTAAATCCAATGCGTTCAACACCCAGGCTGTAAGGCGCATAAAGGCATGAGATACCAGGAGCAAACACACCTTGCAACGCACGAAGGACAAGGTGATGGGAAGCCAAAGCCACAAAATGCCAGTTTGGCCCTAAAACTGCCCATGTGAGCATGAAAATAGGAATGCTTGCCTCTTGGAACTGGCTTCTTCTCTCTTTCATACAACAGTGGAGCATTTGGTGCCAACGGGACACGCGGAGAGGCAGCCCAGGTGCTGCTGCTATGGCCACAACTTTTTGTGCACCTGCACACACAGATTGGCTTTGTGAACATGGTTCATGTCCACATGTACACTCATGTGCACACATATGTCTGCACAGACCGAGGGTCTTCTTTGGCCAGGGAAGGAAAGAGAAAGAGGGGGAAAGAAAGAGGGAGAGAGAGAGAAGGGGGAGGGGAGGCTATGCGGGGGCGGAGGTGGGGGCAGTTACTACAGCCAGGAAAATCGATTTCTGCCTCTGAACAAGCTTCGCTTCCCAGATCTCCGGGTTCATTAGCACGGACCGGGCTTGACACCAATACAATTTCCACACCGCGCGCAGCAGAGGCAGAGGCTGCAGCAGAGAGGGGGGAGGGGAGGGGAGGGGGGCAGCGAGGAAGAGGAGGAGGAGAGGGGCTGCTTTGGCCAGGCCACATCTCCCCACACACCACAGGCACACTCTGCCTCTTCCCTCTTCTCTCCTCTTCCGTGTGGGGTCACCATCCCAGCCCTGCCAAAGCTTCCTCTCTTGGGCCACTCCACCCTGGGTAGCCTCCAGAAGGCTTGAGGCCTGAGAGAGAGGGAGGAGGAGGAGGAAGAGGGAGAGCCCTTGCCAGGCAAGCAGGCAGGCTGGTCTCTTCCTCTGGAGCCAGAGGCCTAGGCCTCCTCGTTTTAGGAGACAGGGGAGCATCCCCCCCCCTTCACCCCAAGGTCACTCCGGAAAGCCTTTTGTGCCCAGCCCTGAAACACCCTTTGCTCCCACCTCCAAAGGCCCATCCTCTCCCATGAAGGAGCCCAGGCCCGGGTTCTCCAGAGTTCAAGGGCGACATCCAACCCTGCCGAGGGGTGAAGGTGGGGTCACGCCTGGCCTGGCTGTGAGGAAAAAAACACAGAGCTGCTCGGGAAGGGAATCAACTGGAGGGCCAAGAGAGTGACAGAGCCAGGAAGCGGGGCACAAACTGGGGGGTGGGGGGGGGGGGCTGGAGAGATGGATGGATGGAAGGAAGGGGCTCTGTCACAACTGCTGGAGGGGGCCCGAGGAGGGCCTGTGCCTCCTGCTTTGCCCTTCTAGTCAGAAGGAAAGGGGGGGGTCCCCAGCTTTGTCATGGGGGGGGGGTCCCAGGCTAGTCTGGCAGGGTGGCCTGCCTGTGTGGTGGTATTTCCCCCTCACTGCCACTTTCGGCCCCACATAGCCAGGGTGGGGGACTGGATGGATGGGTGGAAGGGGCTCTGTCACAACTGCCTCCTGCTTTGCCCTTCTAGTCGGAGGGAAAAGGGGGGGTCCCCAGCTTAGTCATGGGGGGGGGGTCCCAGTCTAGTCTGGCAGTTGCCTGCCTGTGTGTGTGTGTGTGTGTGTCCCTCACTGCCACTGTGGGGCCCACAGAGCCAGGAAGCGGGGTGCAAGCTGTTGGGGGGGGGACTGGATGGATGGAAGGGGCTCTGTCACAACTGCTGGAGGGGGCCTGAAGAGGGCCTGTGCCTCCTGCTTTGCCCTTCTAGTCAGAGGGAAAGGGGGGGGGGCCCAGCTTTGTCATTGGGGGGGGGTGTCCCAGTCTAGTCTGGCAGGTGCCTGCCTCTGTTTAGGCGTGTGTGTGTGTCCCTCTTTGCCGGGTCTGCTTGGAGTCTCCTTGTGGGTGTCAACACATAAGAACAACAACACCCCCACAACCTGGAGTGCTGGGGGGGGGCAGCCCTGGGCCATGCTGGGGGGGGGGGGGTTCTCAGGAAAGTAAAGTTGGGGTCCTCCTCTCTCTCTCTCTTTCTCTCCTCCCCCCACCCCCGGGCCCCTCTTTTCCACTTTGGCTCCTTCCTTCCTTCCTTCTTTCCTTCCTTCTTTGCTTCCCGCCCCCCGCCCACCCTCGCCCGCCCGCCTATCGACCGCAGGAAGCCGGCGCCGGAGGTTCGATACGGAGCAGTGACACTCCGGATCAATACCGCATGAATAAAAAGCCCGCGCGCCCGGCCCGCCGCTCCCTTTCTCTCTTCTTCCTCCCTTTCTTTCCGGCTCGCTCTTCTTTCTCCCTTCTTCTCCCTTCTTCTCCCCGCTTCCCTTCCAGGCCTCTCTCTTACCGGGAGCCGAGCGGAGGGCCAGCGGGGGCTTGAGGCGCCATCCCTCGCTGTTCTCGGCTGAGGAGGCGACAGAGGCGGCGGAGGCGGCAACGGGAGACCTTCGGAAGACCAGCGGCACCGGCAGCGGGATGAACATGGCGCGGGACGCGGCGGGGGGCGCATCCCCCCCAGCCCCGCCGGATCCCCGGGAAGGAGGAGGAGAAGCAGGGAGGAAGGAAGGAAGCGAGGAAGGAAGGGGCCTTGGGGGCTTTAGGGGGGGCAGGCAGCCGGGAGGGTCTCTCCTCCTCCTTCCCTCCTTTCCTCTCTCTCTCTTTCTCCCGGGGAGTGGGTCCTCCGCCGGCCTCCTTCCTCCTTTCCTTCCTTCCCTCTTTCCTTTGCTCGATGGAGCCGGACGGGCCAGAAAACACGGAGGGAGGGAGGGAGGGAAGGGAGGGCGGGAGGAGGCGGCCAAGGCAGGTGGACACGGGGCGGGCGAGGGGGGGGGGCTGTGAGTGTGCGTGCGCGCGCGCCTGCCCCCTCCCTTCCCTTGGCTTCCCTTTCCCCGATTCCTTCCTTCCTTCCTTCCCTCCTCCCTCCTTCCTTCTTTCTTTCTCTCCCTCCCTCCCCCCCTTCCTCTCCTTCTTCCTTCCTTCCCTCCCCCTCCCTCCCTCCCTCCTTCCTTCCTTCCTTCTTTCTTCCTTCCTCCTCTCTCCCTCCTTCCTTCCTTCTTTCCTTCCTTCCTTCCTCCTCCCTTCTTCCTTCCTTCCTTCCCGCCCCCCTCGCTCTCCTTCCCTCGTCCCCCACTTTTATTGTCTCTCTCTCTCTCCTTTGACAGATGACATCCCAGGCAGGGCCCGTCCCTCGCGAGACCCCCGCGAATGGGGAGGGGAGGGGGCTGCCAGGGGGAAGAGAGACTCCCAGCCGCCCCCCTCCCTCCCTCCTCCCAGACAAAAGGAGCACATTGGGACGGGGGGAGAGGGGCAAAAGCCAAGGGAAAGACCCCAACTCGGGGCGCACCCTGGCATCGCCACAACAAACAAACAAGCAAGCAAAGAGGAAACAAGGAGCCCCCCCACGGGGAGGAGGAGGCCTGATGCTCAACACCAGACCGGGCAAACTCCCGGACGGATTCCCTTTCGCTTTCAGACGGGGGGGGGGGGGGTTAGATGCAGCTCCATCCTGTCTCCCCCCACCCTACTGAGGACCGTGTCCTTGCTGCTCCATCCCCCCCCCGTCCTTTTTCCACGCGCGGCGCCGCCCCCGCCTCCTTGCCGCCCGAGGCCGGCCTTGGCCCGCAAAGCGCCCTGCCGCGCATTCTTCTTCTTCTTCCTCTTCCTCTTCCTCTTCTTCTTCCTCTTCCTCCTCCTCTCCTCCTTCTCTTCCTCCTTCCTGGGGGAGAGCGGGCCAAGCCCTGCTCCGCCGTCCAGTAAGCCAGACCCCCCCCCCCCCCCCCCCCCCGCACGCCCCAAACCGGGTGCCTTTGAGCCGGCTGCCCGTGTTTCCTTGCATTGCCCCCCAATCTGGGAGGAACCCGGGGGAGCCCTCTGGGTAGAAAAGGGGCTGGGGGAGGGGCACAGGGGTGAAAGGGCGTGCGAGGGTGGGGGGTGGGAGGCAGAGGGGGGCGCTGCACACATTGGGTTGGGGCCAAACATGACCTGCTCTTATAGACCCTCGTTTCCTCCTTTTCTCCAGGTGTTCATGGGAAGGTGAAATCCATCACACACTCTCCCGGCTCACCCCCCCCCCCAAAAAAAAAGACATTCCCAACGCAAGAGTGCGGTCAGACAGACAGACAGACAGCTGTGGGACCCAGAGAGACCCCAGGAACAGAGTCCTCAAGAAGACCCCTCAGGTGGACAGGCCTCTTCAGCGTGGCCCTTCCTTCCTGCCTTCCTTCCTTCCTTCCTTCCTGCCCTCCCCTTCCCTTCCTGCCTGCCTGCCTGCCTCCCTGCCTTCCTTCCTTCCCTCCTTCCTTCCTTCCTTCCTTCCTTGCTCTCCAGCCCCACAAAGCCCCATCCTGTGGGGGCCCTTGGGGAAACAGGTGTGGGGGTGCCTGGCACAGGCCTCACCTTCTTCTTCCAGCCCAGCTCTGCCAAAGGGGCCTGGGCAGCATTGGACCTTTCCTTTCAGGCACAGAGAGAGAGAGGAGTGGTGGCTTCCTTGCTTTGGCCTTCCTTCCACTGGTCATTTGGGAGGGTGCCTTCCTTTGGGGAGCAAAGGTCCTTCCCTTTCTCCCTTGGGACACTCCCTCTGGTTCTGCCAGGCCCTTCAGGTTGGTTGGGATCCTGGCCTCAGCTTCTCTATTCTAGAGAGAGACCTGGCCTCATTTTTGCTATTCTAGAGACAGACCAACAGATAGATAGATAGATAAACAGACAGGTAAATAGATAGGTGGCTCTACCTGCGTGACCGCATCTCTGTGTACGAACCCACACGATCGCTTCGTTCATCTGGAGAGGCCCTGCTCACGATCCCACCTCCATCGCAAGCGCGATTGGTGGGGACAAGGGATAAGGCCTTCTCAGTGGTGGCCCCTCAACTCTGGAATTCGCTCCCCAAGGACATTAGGCATGCCCCAACTCTGGCAGTCTTTAAGAGGAGCCTGAAAACGTGGTTGTTCCAGTGTGCCTTCCCAGAATAAGGAACCCTAAGCAACATGTCCCTAATCGCACTTTACTAATGATCTAGGATTGTCTGCTCGCTCCATTTCTCTCCAAATACCCATCCTAGTTATATGTCACCTTGTCATGCCCAGCATTTTTTAAAATTTTAATTATTACATTGGCCCTGCCATTGTTTTTAATTGCGTCATTGGGTGTTGTTAATGTTATTGCTTTGTTTTTTGAGTTATTGCATTGTTGTTGTTGCTGTTGTTTTTATTGTTGTATTTGGGCTCGGCCTCTTGTAATCCGCACCAAGTCCTTCGGGAGATGGTAGCGGGGTACAAATAAAGGTTTATTATTATTATTATTATTATTATTATTATTATTATATAATCTAGGTTCTTGTGGGTTTTTTCGGGCTATAGAGCCATGTTCTAGAGGCATTTCTCCTGACGTTTCGCCTGCATCTATGGCAAGCATCCTCAGAGGTGTAGTGCTGCAATTTGGAGCCATTTGGGTGCAGGGAGGCATCCCATGCAAATCATGAGCATGCCAATGTATTGTCGAAGGCTTTCATGGCTGGAATCGTGGGTTGTTGGACGTTTTTCGGTGAGCATGGCCGTCAGAGCCTGCTCATGGGCACAAAGCATGCTCAGCTGTATCCTGTGTGTGTGTGGAGGGGGGAGGGTCCCCTCCACTCTGCACTAAGCAGGGCAGGTCCGGTTGGCCGTGACTCACTGGCCCTGCCAATGCTCTTCCTAATCCAGGGTCAGGAAATACACACATGGGCTGGCAGTGCGGGGACTGGCATGCAGCCGAACCCTCTAGCCATGCAGGAGCCTGGTGCCCTCCTGCAGGCTGAACTTGCACCAGGAAGAAGAGAGTCCCCGCTTGTTCTTCTGGCTCTCCTGTGATGGATTGGGCATTGGGCCCTCGGCATTGTGTGCGCTTGAATTAATCAACCTGGCACAATTGATCAACTCAGGTGCATGAAGGGATCATGACTAAACATACCTATTCAGACCCTTTTGCCATCGGACTACGGGGGCTGAAATAGATCTCAGCCATCGGTATGGCATATCCCTAAGAAGGTGCGCTTGTTGCCTGTTGCGCACATGCTGCACTTAGCAGCCTTGTCTTTTGTATGCATCGAGGTCCTTCCTCTCTTCCTCAAGAAGGCCCAAGCCGAGCCTTTCTCTACCCCTCCCCCCCCCCCCCCCCCCGCCCCTCCCACATTGGTTCATCAGGAAAAGTATAATTATGAGCACCTTTCCTCCTGGACAGCCCGGCACTTACGTTTCAGCCTGGGCCTACTTTCAAAGAACTACAAGGGTCTAAAGGACTACATCCCGGCGCGGAAAATCAATACCACAGCAACGAGGATTTGAGAGAAGGAGAAAACGAAGGGAGAAAAGATCTCGCTGTGCGGCTAATGGACTGTCTGGGAAATTGCTCCCAAAATCCAGAATTCATATTCTTGTTCCATTTTTTTTCATTCAAACCTAATTAAAATATTGTCAGATCTTGCTGTTGTTGTTTTTTAAAAAACAAGACCATTAATTTGGAAGAAAAAGAAGGAAAATCTGGAATATGGTTTAAAGGCAATGATAATGTATTTTTTTCTTACAGAAAAAGGAGTCGTTTTTCTCCTCCAGAAAATAAATTTTAAAGGGGGTGGGACTCAAAGACCAGGGCGAGGAGAATGGGAAATGGACCTTCCTTTGTTGTTAGCCAACCCTCGCTGGGGCGTCATTGTGATGCTTTGCCCTTTATCTGCTTTCTGGGTGAAGGCAGGAAGGTGCCCAGAAAGCGCCTCACCTGCCATTCCCTACTTCCTAGAAGGAAGGCAGGGAAGTGGAATATTTTGCAAGGAGATGGTGCAGTGGGAGAAGAGCAAAGATGGAGGTGAGGGAGGGATGCATTAGAGACGCAGAGGAGGAAGAGGAGGAGGCGGCATTTGGGGTAAGCAGCAGCATCAGCATCAGAGCCACAAGGCTTGAGCATCGGACCACGACTTTGAGGCCAGGGTTCAAATCCCCGCTCAGCTATGGAAACCCACTGGGTGAACTTGGGCAAGCCACACTCTCTCAGCCTTACAGGAAAGGCAAAGACCTCTCCACTCCGGCCAACGGTTGCCAAGAAAACCCTGCAATGAGCCCACCACAGGGTCACTATAAATTCAAAATTATTTGAAGGTGCACAACAACAATATCAATAGGGAGCAGTCATCTGTGTTTTTGGCAAAGACATCCTTCTTGATCTCCTCACAATTTTCCTCACGTGGGACCAAAAATTGACAGGGAGAAGGTTTGGTGTGCAGAGGAATTCCTTTGTGGTCATTTGACCTAAATGAAGACTGCACTGTTTGTTGCCACACACACAACACTCCACAGAATAAAGGCCACAGACTATGATATTGGATTGTGCAATTTTAAATAAGTGGTTTTAAATGTTTGACATGCTTTTAATGATTGGGTTGTTGTAGGTTTTTTCGGGCTATATGGCCATGTTCTAGAGGCATTCTCTCCTGACGTTTCGCCTGCATCTATGGCAAGCATCCTCAGAGGTAGTGAGGTCTTTTGGAACTAGGAAAATGGGTTTATATATCTGTGGAATGACCAGGGTGGGACAAAGGACTCTTGTCTGCTGGAGCTAGGTGTGAATGTTTCAACTGACCACCTTGATTAGCATACAATGGGCTGACTGTGCCTGGAGCAAACTTTTGTTGAGAGGTAATTAGATGTCCCTGCCTGCTTCCTCTCTGTTGTTGTGTTGTTGCAATTTTAGAGTTTTTTAGTGATTGTTTTAATGTATATGTTTATTTGATTGATATATGTTCTTATGGCATCAAATCGCTGCCTATATATGTGAGCCGCCCTGAATCCTCTATGGGGTCAGAAGGGCAGGGTATAAGTATGGTAAATAAAAATAAATAATACTGTTCAAGTAAAAAAAAGAAGAACCGAGAGACTGTCTTTTGTTTCATGGGCTGCCCTTAAAAGAATCACAGACACGCTTTTCATCTAACATTTCCAGCCCTGAACTAGAGGCAGAGGCACTCGGGGAACGCATCCTTTTCCCGCCATTCTGAATAGAAAACGCAGTCGGTGCAGACATTTCACTCAAATGCGTGAAGGCCTGATCACGACCCCTATGCCTCTGCCTGAACGACTAGCAGCGGGTCCTATGCCGCAGCGTCTACACGGGAAGATGACGAAGATGGAGATGACTGGTGGTTATTTATTTATCCTTTTTAACGTGTGCTGGCCAGAAGACAAAGAAGAGAAAGGAGTGCTCAAGAGGACAAAGGGCCCGGCTGTAGCAACTCCCACCACGGAAGCAAAGCATCAAGCCACCGTTCCATTTTGAAAGAGGCTTCCTTCTCTGGCAGGAAAGGCTCCCACTGCAAGTCAGGAAGGGAAACACCAGCCATGTGCAAGAGGCGTCTCCCGCAGGCCTGGCTTTTGATCCTGGGTTTGAGCTCTTTCCCTTTCAGGCTGATAACCCTGCAGTCCCTAACATCCGAACCTATCATTTGTCATCTACTAGGCATAGAGCCTTTTCGATCGTAGCCCCTTATTTATGGAATGCCTTGCCGGTCGAAACTCGAACCATCCAGAGACCTACTTGCTTTTCGGAAAGCCTGTAAAACTTTTCTTTTCTGACAAGCTTTTGATGGCTGAACAACCCGGGCTATGCCTGTTCTCGCTGCCTATTGTTATTGTTATGGTCATTTTAAAGCTAATTGTATTGTTTTAATCTGTTTCTGTAAACCGCTCCGAGCCAAATTGGGAGTAGCGGTATACAAGTTGAATAAATAAAAAAAAAAATACCACTGAGTTGTGATTAAAAACTGGCCTAACTAATACTATATTGTATTGTCGAAGGCTTTCATGGCCGGAATCACTCAGTTCTTGTGGGTTTTTTCGGGCTATATGGCCATGTTCTAGAGGCATTTCTCCTGACGTTTCGCCTGCATCTATGGCAAGCATCCTCAGAGGTAGTGAGGTCTGTTGGAATTAGGAAAATGGGTTTATATATCTGTGGAATGACTGGGGTGGGGCAAAGAGCTCTTCTCTGCTGGAGCTAGGTGTGAATGTTTCAACTGACCACCTTCATTATTTTATTATTATTATTATTATTATTATTATTATTATTATTATTATCACCTTTGTTGGGACCCACCAAGGCAACATTTTGCAACCCCAGGCAGCCAAATCACCAATATTTCCTTCACTGCCTGTACCTAAAACTGCTGCTGATCCCACTTTTGCTGGCAAACGTGAAGGTCCCTTGGGTGAACCCAATGCAAATGGCCTGCTTCATTCAGGCCTCACCTTGATGCCTATCTGCACCCATCAGCTTTCACACAAAAGCAAGGAATGACATGGTCCCATACTGAAGGTTCCCCATCTATTTGTAAAGACCAGGAATTACCCTGCTAGGCCAGATCTCTTTTGTTGGCTTCCCTATCTCTAAATATTTACTCACAACTCACTCCTAAGCCCAGAACACACACCTACCTCCATTAATACATTATAGTCACTTTGGACCAAGCCCGTTTTCTAGCCTTTCTGTCTGACTTCCTTGTCAGGATCCAAGAAGCATGGCTAGGCGAGAGGAGGGTGGATTCTCCCTCTCAGGGGACCGAGAGGCCTTACTTACACTCCCCTCCATCCCAAAGGATGGCGGTTCCCAGGGGAGAAGGAAGGTCTAAAGCCAGGCCCCTCTTGTAATGTAAAATCAGTTGGCTTTTACAGTCTTTGCAGACAGCCGACTCCAAGCACGACTTCTCAAAATCAGTGCACAGTACTTACCTTTCCCTCCTTTTTTGTGGAAACAAAAAGGGGAGGCAGCAGGAGAGGAAAGCTCAGAAGGGTTATGAATGTCTGACAACGACAACATCTGGTCCATCGCATAAAACTCCCTGAATAAAGCAAGGGGACTACAGAACACCAGCCTAATCTGGACAGTTAGTTCCTGCGTTGACACTTCTGCACTCTGCAAAATGATCCAGTATTACCTGCATGGGGTTTATCTGCTTCCATATTCCCTCCCTATGAGGAGCATTTATGGTAGAACCATGTAGAGCAGTGTTTCTCAACCTTCCTAATGCCGCGACCCTTCAATACAGTTCCTCATGTTGTTGTGACCCCCAACTATAACATTATTTTAGTTGCTACTTCATAACTGTAATTTTGCTAATGTTATGAATCGTAATGTAAATATCTGATATGCAGGATGTATTTTCATTCACTGAACTAAATTTGGCACAAATACCTTATACACCCAAATTTGAATACTAGTGGGTTTGAGGGGAATTGATTTTGATGTTGCATTTGGGAGTTGTAGTTGCTGGGATTTATAGTTCACTCCAATCAAAGAGCATTCTGAACTCCAGCAATGATGGAATGGAACCAAACTTGGTACACAGAACTCCCATGACCAACAGAAAATACTGCAAGGGTTTGGTGGGCATTGACCTTAAGTTTGGGAGTTGTAGTTCACCTACATCCAGAGAGCACTGTGGACTCAAACAATGATGGATCTGGACCAAACTTGGCAAATACTCAATATGCCCAAATGTGAACACTGGTGGAGTTTGGGGGAAAATAGACATTTGGGAGTTGTAGTTGCTGATATTTATAGTTCACCTACAATCAAAGAGCATTCTGAACCCCATCAACGATAGAATCGGGCAAACTTTCCACACAGAACCCCCATGACCAACAGAAAATATTGTTTTTCCTGATGGTCTTTGGCGACCCTTCTTACACCCCCTGGCGACCCCTCCAGGGGTCCCAACCCCCAGGTTGAGAAGCGCTGATGTAGAGGGAAAGCACAGCTTTCTGGTGTCATAGAGGGATGGTTCTCCTCCTCTTCTGCCCCCATAACAACCCAGAAGGACATTTCCTCAAAGAAAAAGGTATGTTTGAAACCAGGAGGAGAAGAGGGTGTGTGGTGGATAAGTGGAGGAATGTGGCAGGGATCAATGCAGGTGAGGCAAGGGATAAGCGGCCGATAGACACGTAGACGTTCCTCTGCTCAAAAACCAGCTTTTGGAATACAGGTTTTCTCTACGAAATGAAGCCACTAAACTTTTGGGTGTAAAACCACGTAGCTCTGCCGTTACATGTAGAACAACCATGATGGGGGGAGAGAGAGAGAAGAGGAGGGGAGGTCTGAATCTTGCAACAGTGGGTCATCTTTCTCCCCACCCCCTTTTCTGATTTTGGTGAGAATCAGCCGGCACCATCCCTCCCCACCAACCTAGAAAGAGATGTGACAAAACACCTACCTTTCAGGCAGAAGTGGCAGCTGTAGTACATTCACTCCAGTCCAGTCCAGAACCTGAAAAGAGAAGAGAAGAGAAGGTGCCAGTAAGCTTGGTAGAATATGAAAGGTACAATTTTACTCCCATCTGCAAGAGACGGATATATTCCATAAGGGCACTGGTCCCTTCTTCGCCCACCATACGCCATCACAATGGTTTGAAAAGACCCTTGGCAATGCGGGACAGCTGGGTGTGAGGATGACTTGGTTCTTTCGGGGATAAAGTTGCATCAATGGCACTGAAGGGAATCGGAACGGAGGCAACAGGAGGACAAGAGGCACATGAGTGCCAAGGCCTTCAAGAATGCCAAGTGCCAAGCACACACACACCCCCCCCCCCCTTT